CACTCGGGGCACGTGGTTTTGATTAGTAGCCACATTGAATATTGGTACTGTCATATTAGTACTAAGGATAGGATCACGGGTGGACTTGTGCTATTTATCACCGCCTAGCCCCCTCCCCTTTTTGATACAACACCCATGAATACGGGTTATATTATTCGCATTGATAGTACAAGTATTGGTAGTATTCATAATAACAGTGATATCAATAGTATTAGTAATGTCATTCGTATATGAATAGTATGATTTCGATGAATCTTTTTAGTGGTGTTAATTGCGTTAGTTGTATAAAAAAACATGAGTACCCTTTGGCAATATTGACAGTGATAATCTAATAGTACCAAGACTAATGTAACAATCTAAGTTTTATCAAAGAATGTCAGCCATGTTGATATTCACGTGAATGGTAGTGGTATTCATTTTTTGGAACAAAAAGCAACGGGCCGAACAGTTAATTTATCGCTAACGCGACACCGCCTCGGCAAATGTAGTGCAGGCTGGGGCTGGCAGTTGAGGAAGCGTGGAGCGCAGCTGACTGGGCTCGAGTGCAAGGGAGTGATCAAAGAGTTCTGACCTCCGAACGTTAGCCTTGTTTTATCCTGATTTTGACCTGCACCGCAGCTCTCGCCGTCCAGCTTTCCCGAAATCTCTTCCTGGCCTCCCCCACCTCTCGCCCCCTCTGCCCCCCCTCTATCTGGATCTAAATGTCCGAGGCCTCCGACCTCGGCGGATTGTCACAGAAGATGTTAGCAGCATAAAGTGATAGCAGCCAAGTGCACATGTGTTATTACAGCATGCAAACAGCGGTCCAGTTCACAAACTTCGAGAATTCATGGATGACTGCTGCAGTTTGCATATGCACACCTAGCTTATCATCACAGTGCTTCGCTCCATGGGGTGTTGCAAGCTGTCCTCGAAACCTGGGATTGAAATAATCTTTAGGGGGCCTCATTCTTGCCTGCTTTGGGCATCAGACATGGGCCGTGTCAGTTAGTCAGGTCTCTCTGAGAACGTTGAAGCGATTTGGACGAACAACCAGGTAGAATTCATCAGTTAATACCAGTCTTAAATCAAAGCGCTGGTATTCAGGTATTCTAAGGGTTGAAATTCCAAGTCGGGAAGGTCGACGGCTTGTGAATCCTTCCACGTACGTAGACCACCTTGTGGAACTACCGGAATTTGCCTGCGAGGCCCCACTTCTTGAGGTGAGCTGAATCGCGCCAGTGTAAATCATGCGACACAACTCCTGAGAGTCTAAGGGTCCCGCTTTCTGCCGCTGCCACACACCAGATGGAACCTGGCTGCAGTGGTGGCTCTAAGAGCAATGAGTGGCCAAGCAGCTTGAGCTTGAATTGGCAGCTATCTTCCTCTTGAGCAGCAAGGAGCATCAACATGGTTGCGTTCAAGGCTGAGGCAGGCACATGTACTTTTCAAGGGTTACACTCTTTGTGACCACGTTCTCGCACTCATGTGCTCCTTCAGCCTCCATTTGCCTAACAGCAGCAATGGCTCACTTGACATCAGCAACAAAGCAAGGACGTCGTGGATGCGGTGCCGGAAGACTTGGCGGAGGACGACGAGAAAGAGCTCTCGGTTGTTCATCCTGCAAGGTTGGCAAAGTTTGATCCCAAGCAAGAGTGTGCTGAGTGTGCTGATCCAAGCCACAGGCTGGAGAAGCGCTCCTGTGCTGTGGGAGCGGCGTGGGACGCTGAGATCTGGATGGAGATTTTGACGTGACGTCGTAACATGGACAACGGCTGCTGCTGAGGCTTGCAGCACATTTTTCGTACTCTCGCCAAGAAGATGGGCTTCTTGAGAACACGCGCTTGTTGGCAAGGCCTTTGGTACAACGGGAAAGAGAGATGAGTAGGCAGTCGCAAGAACGCGTGCAAGGTATCAGAAGCTTGCAGAACAAGTTGAGCTGAAAGCTTGAGAGGCACTAGGTCAAGCGATTGATGTCCCACGTAGCGAATGGAGAAAGATCAAAAGACACTGCTACAGAATGCTGCTGGAGTCAGATTGCGTGCAGCACGTAGCCGTAACGGCACATTGTAGCATGCGTCCCGCATCGCCGGAACCGCCTCAAAGCTGAACAGAAGCGTAGCAACTGCTTCAAAGACGGGCAGCATGTACAGACCTGCTGCAAGCTCAGCTGCCTCAGAACATCCGACGCATACTTTCTGAATGACTGCGCACTTAGGTTGCGAACATACAAGATGCCTCGGTCAGCTTGCTTACACGCTACTGTCAGGTTACAGCACGTGGAAGCGGTAGAGCAGTGCTTAAGGGCGACTTCTGGGCGTCTCAAGGTCACTCTGCGCCAGAGACCAGTTCCTTCACTGAGACCTGCGAGGTGCGGTCACTTTACGTCATTTGACTCCCAACCGACTGCTACCCAAAACTTCCGCAGAGAAGTGAGCGTGTTAGGTACGCCAGTGAGCTGCCCAGGCAAGCTCTTGGACAGGCGCACCCGGTGCCCCCATGGTTTTGGACAAGTGGGTCCGTGCTTGCGTAAGCACGAAAGGCAACTGGCACTGCGACAAGTCGAGTTGCACTTGGTACGGAGCTTACACGATGACATGTTTGCAAGCTGTGTGCAGGATTGGACTTGCAACCGGGGGCTAGGAACCCCTGTGCCAGAATCCCCTATAGCAGAACTGCCCTGCTTGCAACAACCCCCTAGTTCTAAGTGTGACGCATACATTTGTGTAAGATTGCTCAAATTTCCTTGTAGTGCGCAGAAGCTGTACTTGAAATGAGCAAATGATAGCAAACAAGGCTGCGTCTCAAGTCTTGTTGCCACGGCGGCAGTTGCCAGGCCGAGGGCTTCGATTTCTTTTGGTTTGCCAACTGTTCTGAAACCCAGAAAGTGGTCAGGAGGTATAAACCAGGTCGACGACAGCGAGATCCCAAGGCCAATGCATCTACGGCGCTGTTCATTTCTCCTATCCGTAAAGCATTCCTAGAGTGCAAGACCCTCCGGTTGCATACCTCAGGGACATGGGTCACGCTGGACTGTCGCAAGACTATAGACCTCATGAAGACCAAGCTAAGCTGGATCCAGGTGGTGCGGTTGGCAGAGCACGCAGATCGCACATACCTGAACGTGACGCTCTTAGTCAATACATTGTACACGTTGTTTCTCTGGTCTGGGTAATCTTGAGGGGTGCCAATGTGATCGGGACGAGCTCAGGTCACCGGATTTCCCTTTCCGCTGGGCCCAATTTTTTCCAGACGTACAGCTTCGAGCTCAGTCACAAATGCGTGTTTATTCCAGCAGCCGCCATAGTTGCAAGATCTTGCAAGAAAGCCGCCTACTCGCAGCATGCGAGGCAAAACATCTATTGCATGTTGGGGGCAAGGCAAAAAGACTAGCTAGATCCAGCCTGATCGTTGCCATTTTGCAGAGCATCTGGCTAGATGGAGACGAGTACCAGGAAGCATGCAGCTCTGGGCTCTGACCATGAATATTTGCAGCTTTCTACGCCAACCACGCCCGAGGTGCGCAAGCAGATTGGCGAAGGCATGTGGAGCTTCGAGCAAGAACAGAAGCTGGCAAACATCACCGTCAATGTGCGGCCCTTCTATCCTTTACGCTGTTGGCATTGGGATACGGCGTGGCGTATTGCAGGTGCGAATGACTGCGATTAAGTTGGAAGACGGCAGTCTGCAGAAGCCTTACACCCATTCCCCGCAGCATGGAGGGCAGATAAAGAGCTGAGGTGGATCCACAACCCGATTGCACCTACATCCGAGTGCAATGTGCTCCTCCGGCTGGGCTGGGAACGGAGTCTCAGTAAAGGCCAAGCCCATAGGGAGACTCAGAACTGTGCAGGGAGCTGGGGCTGCCGGTGAAGTACATCGTTCTGGGTAGTGCTCAGCTAAAGCCTTAGCCATATAGGGCTTGCAAACGTCCCTGCATGGAACGGTGCAAATTGAGCTGCGATGACAATGCGATAATCTGCATGTGCCAAGATATGAACACAAGATCTTTGTGGCGCCCTTCGCAAGACGCTGGCCAGATGCAAAGGCAGCAAGCTCTCCTGCATGTCCTAGGGCACATGCCTGCATTTTTTGCAGATCTGGCTTACGGGCTCGCGTGCTGGAGAATCTTGCGGACCTCATGTGCAATGTATTTAAGTGCCGAATGCGGCCTACCCTGTTGGTCCTGTTTCGCTGCCGCCTCAAACAAGTGTAATTGCGGAGGGGTTTCGGGCACTCGTGTTGTCTTCTAGATCCAGGTGAGAGTGCCCTGTGGCAAAGGGTACAGACTTTAAGAGGTTGTCTTCAAAAATGCACAATTTGGAGGTCTACACGGTGCCCCAGCAGTGGTCATGGCCGTTGGACCTTCCAAGCCCGTTCTATGGGATTTTCTCGTCTGGTGATCTCAAGGCCTAGCTGAAGCCAATGCGGCCAAACTCAGCACACGCGACGCTGCGTATCAGTCTCAGGATGCAGACACCACGGCGCCGTGGTCTGCTGAGATTGAGCAACAGCTTTTCAACCCGAAGGATGGTCCTCTCAGTGAACTTGCTTTAGAGTCGGCAAAATGCTGCATCACGACAGGATCGATTGGGTTTTGGATACAGTGCATGCGAGTGCGCTTTTTTTCACAAAAGGCAGGTGTTTCTTTTGAGGGCTCCAATTCCGAGCGTGCGCTTGCCGTTGAAGGTCCAAAACGCTGATCTGCACCGACGCCTTGGTTTACGTGCCCGAGGTCTGGCCTTTGCAAGATGTTGTGTACATAGAACGTACCACTAGCACTCAGCTTGATTCCGAACGGCTCGACACGCACCGCAGGAACCGCCAGCTGTTTTAGACAAGACTGAACTTCGAGGCGCGGCCAATTCATGCTACTACATGCGACCGTCCCAGTTTATGCCAGTTCCGCCTTTGCGCCTGCAGACCTTGGGAAGACGGCCGACAACTTCATCCTTGACCTGGTTGCCTTGGTGAACTGGCTGCTTGGCGGAAATCATTTCGTCAGCGCTTACCTTGCAGACCGTAGTCACAGCATGCAGGCGTGGATCAGGAGAGACAGTCCGGCAGGCTATGCAGGACATGCAGAATTTCTTGAAGTTCTGAAGGTAGCACGGCATGGCCGCACGTGCAATGAAGGACGAGAGCTCCGGTCCGCAGCCAACGGAGAATGCCCTGGTGAGGCACATTTTGAGCCAGCTGCATCAAAAGCAGCTTTTGTTTGGACTCTGGCATTTGTCATTGCAAGAAGCAGGGCAAAGATCAGACTCTACGATCGAAGCACCTAAAATCCGAAAAGCCTGACTTTGTTTGCAAAGAGGTCTTGGTAACCTTAGCCAGGCCTCATGACCCAGACCGAAACCATGCACAACTTATTCTGGCCTTTCGCTGCTTTCTGCGCAAGTTGCCGTCGGCAGGAAGGGCTGGCAGCGCAACGCCTTGCTATCACTATACTTTGGCTGCACTCTCAAAATGTGTCCTTGTGACGAAGGCCAGACCAACAACTGCTTAGCATTTTTCCTGAGGCCCTGATGGAAAGAGCCTTGTCGACCCTTCGAAGGCAAGAACTGATGTCTCTGGCGTTACCTGTCACGGTGGCTTGGCAGGCTTTCCAAGCCATTGCTGGCAAGTGGATCGTTGGGCCGGCGTCTTGATGGACAATTGCGGTGCATGAGCTGAAGCAATGTTTTTCTGATCGCAGGCCAGTGTGCTACTCACTGGTCTATGGCGGCCGCCTTCGGGAGGAAGTGAAGGAGCCATGGAGTAACGCTCTCAAACTGAGGCCACCGCTTCTTGAAAACACAGAAAACGAAACTTCAACTGGACCGTGCTACAATGGCAATCCAAAAGGTCATGTGGTTTGACAGTGGGGCATGCGCGGACACTTGCACATCTGCAGATTGTCACAAAGAAGATTTGAAGGCTGCATCCAATGTACGCGTCATGGCATTGGGGCACCCAAAGCATACATCGCGTGAGCACAGACGGTTCCTTGCAATTAGTGGATCTTTGCTGCCACGGCCAAAGACAATTTGCAGCACTCGTCTGTATCCCCTTACACTATTTCGCTTCAATCACATGCAGGGATAAGATGTGAATGGTGGCAATCGTTGTGGTCTTTGTTTGTAAAAATGCTATTGTCTTGTGTTAAGGTGTTTCCTTTGATGGATAGCGACAAGCATGCAAAGGAGGAGGAGGACAAGCAGCAGGTGCCCGTTAAGGCTCCAATGTAAGGCAGTCATCAAGCATGCCATGGAACAACAGAGCGATCAAGTGAGCCAGAGTTCCCCAAGCACCAATTTTTCCGTGTTTTCTGGAGGTAGCAACTGGGCACGTCATGCGATCCCAAGCAAAACTGTGCAAACTTCAACATGCCCCAGCTTGATACCCAACAATAGCTTGAAGCCACAAACCGCTGAAGCTTGCACCCTAGACCTTACCTAACCTCCTCGAACCCCAAAAAGAAGGATCTTACACTGCCTCGTAGCCTAAGTGCCAACCTCGCAACCTTGAGCCGAAACCAGCACTTTAACTTTCGAACTCTATACCGAAATCTGACACCCATCAGCAAGATCCCCAGGATACTGGTTGCTGAAGTCCGACCCCAGAGAGGGCGGCTGGCTGTAACTACCGAAATCTTCTTGAGCCCTGCAAGGGTCTGTAGGGCGGCCAGATGCGCCAAACTCGGACTCCCAAAACTACCAGCCACCTATTGGCCAGACGCACCAAGATCCGAACCCGTGAACACCCAACTGACTTGAAGGGAGACGTGAATGATTTTGTTTGAATCCCAAACTAGCTTTCGTTTGCCGAGTTTGGAAACCGACGCCAGAGCATGCCAGAGCTACTGCTGCTCTGGGGAGGTTTTGAGTTTCTGTACAAGGTTGAGCTGATAAAATATTCCATTCGTGGATGGAAAAAACGAGTAAATTTGGCTGCTACAGTAGTGTGAGCGCCGCCTCGGCGAGGGCTGCAGAGACGGGCACGAGAAGACTGGCCAAGATAGTGGCGGCCAAGGGGTGGGAAGCTGGGAGGGTCGAGGGGCAGACCAATGAGGGCCCGGCAGACCGCTAGGAAGCGGTGGTGGGGACAAGCCCCTGGACCTGGGGGAGGCTGCCGTTGCCAGACCTGACCACCGGCCTCCGGCCTCGACAGATTTCAGTTCAGACCCTGAAGGACTGGTCCGAGAGGCTTTGCCGATGGGACGTTCAACAGCTGGAATCTGAGCATGCTGTCTTTTAGCGTTGGTGGCTTCAGCGGAGTAGAGTATAGTAGAGTCGTACCTGCATCATACTGTGCATTGGCATTGCATCTTGTTTGCAGCAAGGATCCTGCCTGGTCACTTTGCGGGACCAATTGGTCGACAGCTGAGAAGATGCCGGAATGACTGGACCTGATTCATTTTTGGTTGTTGCGTTTGATCTTTGCTGCCAAGGAGGCGGCCGCAGCGACATTCGGAGAGCCTTTGAGGTTCTGGAAGAGAATGTCGAGGCAAGTGCATGTTCAACAAGCAAGCATTTTGGTGGTTTTGGCTGTGTTGCTGCCAGGCCACCGCAGAGCCCGAGTTTGCTTTGCCATGGCCTTTTCCTCAACCTGTTCGTTATCCATCTGAGGCCGTCGTGTTGATTGTGTCAAAGACGAGAGAATCTGAAGAGAAGGGGGTCTTTTGCTTCAACTCCTTCTGATCACAGGACCTGAAGCTGCTGACGGATATCAGCGGCGTGCTGCGATCCTTCAATGTCATATGAGTAGCTCTGCAACAGAATGCCCCGCTGATGGCTGACCTTGTGCTCGCTCATCTTCTACAAAGAAAGCGGCAAGCGTCGGCGGTCTTCGGGGCCGGATCTCATCAGTTGGCCTTCACCATCCATACTATCTCAAAGAAGCCAGGCTCTCATATGATTTTCTGTAGGCTGGGGATCTGCTCTCTGCACGATCACCAGACCATGTTTCCTCATTTTCCAATTCTCTGGCTCTCCAGCTAGACCGTGCATGACTACGCTCGGCATGATTATTGCAAGCTGCAGCTTGCAAAAGAGACAGCTGTAACATGCAGAGCGCCTAAGTTTTCATCGCGCACTGACATCACGCAGTAGCTTCGCTCATTGATGAGCGAAAGTGGGCGCGTGCTGTTTTTCATCTCACCCAAGAGACCGACATGACACAGGAGCTAAGCCATCTAAAAGGTTTGAGCGACGTGACGCTTCCACGCCACCTCATACAGTGGCAGCATGACTCTTCCAGCTTCAGGAGATAGCCCGTCTGCAGTCAGCTCGTGCCAGCCGTCGCCGGACACTTGAGATCAAGGTACTGGCGGCATTCCTATCTGGAACGCAGCTGTTTTGCTGCACTTTGCTGCGATTCAAGGTCAGCAGCGTGCGCGAGACGAGAGGCAAACGATTGGCTGCAGCCTTGGGCGAGACCTCGGCGAGCCCTTGGCGAGCCTTACAAACATTCCAGCACTACACCTGCTGGCCATGAAGGTTCTGAGTCTGGCTGTTTGGGCTTGTTTGGTACACTTCGAGCTGGCATGTGGGCAAGCTGAAGTCACCGTTTGGTCTGCACTCTTCAACAGCTCTTTGCGGGGCAGTGGCAAGCAGAGATGCAAGCAAAATGCTGGACACCCGTAGGCTCGTCGCAAGCTTTTTGCGGCGAGGTCTGGTGGGATACACAAATGTCGGCAAAAGTGCGGCCGGGACCTTGATTCCATCAAGCGAATAAGTTTGAGAACCGCGTGAAAGCGGCTTCGGGCGGTGCTTGCATTTTGATGGCTGACTTCAATGATGATGTACGCTGAGATTGTGAACCGCCTGACGAAGGCAGATCTCCTTGTGCAGGAGCCATGGCTGCACAGCCCTGCTCAGGCTTTCATGTTTTGTCATGAGAGAGATAGCAACCTCCACATGCCGGTGCAGGACGGTGTCTTTGTGACTTTGGACATTTCATCTCGTCACTGCGTGCTGCCAGAGCCTCAGATCAATCTTGGCTTGTAGAACATGTGAGTCTTGGCCCCAAGGCCATCAGGCAGGGAATGCCATGTTTTGGACACGGTGGGTTTGATCCAGGCCTAGCACCCACATGGAGCTTTATGTCTTCGTGCTTGGCTTCCTGTGCCGTTTTCAGGGCTTGCCAATCGACATCTGCGAAGCTCTGCAGGCCACCATACAGGAGCTCCCAGCCTGCCATCTCTGCATCACGAATACCCGTGCAACCTTCCAGGAGCTTCACCAAGCGGATATCATCATGCACGTGCGTAACATCGCACATCCTGCTCGAGAGGACTTTGGATGTAGTTGCCTTGATGTCTCATGCTCACAATGCTGCTGTGTAAATGTGCCTTCGCAAGAGCATCCGTCGCTCCAGAATCCGATGTTCGCACAGGAGCAGGCGGAGTTGGTGCGAGAGGTGCTTTCAGACTCCGGTGTCGACATGGAGCGGGTTATCGAGGCTGCGGGATGAGCCCGGTTTCAGAAAATGACTGGCAAGGGCATTCAAAGGCCGCACATTGGGGCGGCGCTCCTTGAAGGTCTGGAACAAAGCTGACATGGTGCCGCAGAAGGAGGCTCCTGCATGAGCACCCGGTTCAGCTTAACTGGGAAGATCTGACATCAGGTTCGCCACCTGCACTACTTGCGCCAACAGAAGGCTCGCAGGCTCATGTTAGGCATGGTTCAAGAGCAAACTGTTGAGGACTCTACCCCCATTTATGTCGTCAGCGCTATGACAGGTGGCTCCCGTTTACTGTATTTCATGTACTGTAGTTATTCCGGTGTGATCAACCTGCGTGTTGGTTGGAGGCCTCGGCTTTCCAAAGCTCTTGCAAGGTTTGCAACAGATGACGGAGGCGTCAGATTTCACTTTTGCCTGTGGGATATTCGGAAGGGTGCTGCAAACCAGCAGGAGTTGGCGACCAGGGTAGTGCTTCGCTCCTAGTAGCATGCTGTGGCTGTGCTGTTGCTTGTCATCTGCTTCGCTGAGGCCCGGTCTCAAGTCTCAGAGCGCAGTTGAGGCCGTTACTTTTGGAATGTGTTGTGATCTGTCTTAGCAGTGCAGCAGACAGGTTGCGCAAAGTGGCTGGTGTACTGCCATGTTCTTAGCCTGTCAAGAATCCGGCTCAGAAATTTTGCTGTCTATGCACATGGTGGTAAGAACAAAACGAATGCAAGTGAGGGCCGCCTGGTACCTTGACATGGCGCTGCCTTAGGTCCGGCTGCCCACGGGATTGTCCAAGAATGAGGCCATTTCTGCAACAGTCTGTACTTCTCGGCGCTGCTGTTTTTTTCCTGACGATTAGCAGTGAGCAGGGCATGCTGCTGCAGGCTGCCGAAATCTGGGCCTTTGTTCACAGCAGTCCGGCGACTCTACAGCATTGCATCATAGATCCCCCACTGCCGCGGCTGTAGTTACAGCGCGGCCCCGGAGTTGTAACAATTTCTGGTTGTGCTCGAGATAGAAAGTTCATGAACGAAGTTGTAACAATCAGCATCCTCGCGCTGTTGCTGACGAATTTGTGCTTATCCAACCGCTGAATCATGCCTCCGGCCCTTGTCAGGACTTGCTAGGACTTCTTGGCTCATACGTTTACGGGCTCTATAATACAAATAAAGTGCCAGCAAAAACCTCAAACAAGTTACCTGAATCCATCTTCTGAGTTGCCGCGACCCGACGTGCTTGCAGAATTGGTGTGTCAGCCTGGGATTTAGGCTTATTGCTGTGACTTTTTGTCAGCTGCTCGCCAGGAAACCATCACGTGACATATCCTATTGAAACCTGGTCTTTGATAGCCTCTACGACTACGATTATCCAGAAAATCTCATAAACGAGGGTCTCCTCGTGGAAAGCATGCCCTCGTTGTTGCAATTTTTATGTCTCTGGGTCTCGCTGTATCACATAACCCCCCCCATTTGGCAATCCCAAGAAGTTTGTTTTGCAGGCTTAAAAAAACACTCAATCGGCGACATTTACGCGAGGTTGAATGGCCTAGAAGTGCAGGCTTTGGAAATACTCTGGGAAGCTGCCTGGGAATGCTTCCGCCATCTGGCACAGACTGGCTTTACGCCCTCACCCAGTTTTCAATGGTGTCCTGGGCCACCTCTACCAAACCAACTAAGGCCGCAGATACCTCCGTTACAACGGATGAGGCCAGGCAAAAAGAAGCATCCTGTGAAGAGTGAAGGTCTATGAAGAATCTGTGGAGCAGGTGACTGGAGAAGCTCGGGTCACGGTCCGCATGAATGACTCGGCGAGGGCCAGGCGCGCAGCCTGTCACGCATGATGAAACTCGACCAATCGGACGGTTGATGGAAGCTTTTGCAGGTTTCTGCAAAAGTTTGGTCCCGGTTTCCTGGTTTGACGTGGAAGAGAAGATGGGCAAGCTGAACCAGCTGGCCAGACAGATTCAAGTCACTGGAAGCATCCTTGGAAGCAAAAGCATGCCGACCAGCTCCATGAAGCTTTCTGGATCCTGGCTGGAATTGTCTGGTGTCGAGCATCGAGCCTGGACGAGATGAGGCAAAACTTTGGACCGCTTGCTGATGGCCAGCAAATCCGTCAACTACAAGTAGAGCAAGATGTGCACTGCTGCAAGGAACTGTTTTCAGGTGTCCACGCAACAGCCTTGTGTGGTAGACCACGCTGTTTGAAGGTATCTCGCTGTCACATACAACTGTCATTTGCAAGACCGGGCGGCGGCGGGCCTGTCAACATCCTGTCCAGAACAGGAAGATCTTGACCCCATCTTCAGGCCTTGAAGCCAGTTTTTGCGGCTGGACTCTGAAGCCAGGGTCTGTCGCGTCGCTGGCCATTCTTCGCATGACATGCAAAATGTGGTTGGCCCTCAGGCATCAGTAACTAGAACAACCTGGCGCCTCGTTAGGTAGACTTGGCCCTTGTGCTGCACCAAGATGAGTTAGTTCTGCTTGCCATCTCCGCAGTCATGGCCAACGTAGAAACGAACCTGCGGCCACAACACGGCATGACATGAGTCTGGCAGCGTCAAGGCTTGAATCAGAATGGAACAGAGATTGATTTGGCCGGAAATCGTACAGGATGCTTTCCGTGCGCCAAAGCTATGCCTCCAAATTCGCTTTCTGTAGGATTTTGCTATGTCTACTACATCAGGTTTGCGTTTGGCCTTGCAGATTCAGATGCTCCCAGGGTGTATGACTGCCCTGTACCTGTCCAAGCTTCGGTGTTCGATTCTGTGGGTACTAGCAAGTTGAGTTTCAGACAGCCTGGGGACACTCTGTCTGAAGCAGCGGCAAGTTGCAGCGTCTCCTGGATATCGCACGAACTGGTTAGAGTGGAAAAGGAAAGGAGTGAAACCCTCGATTTAATTGACAAAGCCGTGCTCTCCGATGACTTTGTGCTAACTGATGCGTTGGTGAAGGTTCCGTTTGCTGGTCGCAGAGGGCGTCTTGCGTTCCTTGAGCGCATCCTCCCGATGCCGCGCTTGGACAACGATGTTCTGGATGCTGTGCTAGCTGGCAAAGAGCTGCTGGTTTCTGTACTACTGCCCAACAGAGAATCAGCCGCATGGTCAAACCAGCAAAATAGGGTAGTTGCTGAGCAAGTTGTGGCAGCCTTGCCGGACCACGTTTTCATTGATGATGGACGCGCAGAGACATACGAGCAGGCATTTACTCCATACCGGTTTTCTTTGATTGTAGACGATGACAACAGCACAGTGTCGCAAGCTCTTGTCCACTGCATTGGCTGGGGAACAATACCTTTGTTCAACGGCTTCACACACATGTTGGCGATATTGCCCAGGGTTGTCATACCTTGGGACAGAGAGCAGTTTCACGCTGGCAAAATGCTTGCATTCCTTCCATCAATCAATCATGATATTGCAGCTCTTTGGCAGCAGCACCGGCTCATTCAGGACTGTCACGTTTGCAGTGTCGCTATTTGACAATGCTGACCATATTGTGCTGCTTTGTGTCGCACATTGGCAATTTGAAGCAGCTCCGCTCTCAGGACCAGCTCCTGTACAGGTATGCGCACGGGTTCAATGCTTCGCTGCGAGCGATTGCCTGTCATTTGTGTGCCTACACTGAATCTCTTGGGAAGGACAGCAGTCGGCGATAGCTGACCTTGGCAGTCATTGCATGTAGTTTCTTGTGCGCTCTGTGTACAACTTCCGCAGGATGGGCCATCTGTCGATGCTGAAGATGCGCTGCCACCTCTGGTTTTCGTTGGTGTGTATTCCGCTCAGGAGAACTTTGGCAAGCGAGAGGCAGTACGCCAAACCTGGGCACGTGCATTGGGCACGGATGGATTTGATATCAAGTTCTTCCTAGGAAGGCCAGAGGCCCGTCTCCTACGTTTGCAGATGGAGATGTTCAAGCACAAGGATGTCGTTCTGCTTGATGTTCAAGAGGGGTACAAGTGGAATTCCGTGAAAGGTCTGCTTTTTCTAGAGTGGTGTGCCCTGCACGTTTTCGCCCGTTTCGTAGTCAAGGCCGACGACGACGTTTACCTGCGTCCAGCTCCCCTGCTGTTCTTGCTGCAGAGCCGGCCTTCATTCGGCTACATCTGGGGATATTTCGATTATTTGAGTCCAGTGCCCAAGGAGCCTGATCATGCTTTCTTCAATTCCAACGAAGTCTACCCATTTTCTGTTTTTCCACCATATGCGAGGGGACTGCTGCGTGTGTTGTCGCTCGACGTAGTGATTGCTCTTGCCCGAATGAGCCTTGCTGGCAAACTACCCCTGATCTTCGGTGACGATCCTTGCTTTGGTGTACACTTGCGGTATCTGCGGGATGACGACCTGGGCTTGCCCATGCTGACTTTGGATGACCGCGATTCCTACCGGATCTTTGCAATGGAGCCCAGTTGCAATTTTGCCCTCTGGTCACATGCATCCCAGAGGTCATGGGTTGTTCACCACGTATCAGCACAGCAAGTCCACTGCATGTGGGCAGCCGATGTGGCAGAGGGTCTGTACCAGATAGACAATTCAGGGAACGTTGCAACTTCTTCAGCAACTCTTGGGCTTGCTGTTGCTGCAGCCAGTGTCGCGACCCAAGACCGCCAAGCCTTCACAGAACCGCACCTCCGATGTTGTTGGCTCCTTTTTCATCAACCCTCTGGGATTAGCTGCAAAGACTCTAGCAGGGTTTGGTTCAAGCACTTCCGAGTGTAGTTCAGACTCGTGAGAGTTTCCAAGTTTTCCACTTCGACTTGCGCCATAAGGTCGGTAATCGTGATTCAATGTCGACCCGTCGCCATTGCGTGTCACTTTGAGCGTGTCTCCTTCACCAGTATCCGCACTGAGGCCACCTTTTCCGGACATCTGCAGTTGCCTCCAGTCCGGGCCACTGGCCGACGAACTTTCCAAGCGGCAGGACAAGGTGAATGCAACCAGGCCGGCTAGTCGAACTTGCTGGGTTTTTTAATGGTTTTTGCATCAACCTTCAGGACCTACATGATGTGGGGCCATCCAGCCCTTCTGGACAAAGCAGAGATGCTGGAATGAATCTGTCTGCGCCACTGACGGAGCAGTCTAGCGCATTGTCAGGATCCTGTGTTCGATGCAAGAATCTGCAAGAACGGCTTTGCGCAGTCAAAAGCAGGCAGAAACTTCCATGTCCTCTCTTTGAATTCGTGCGTTGCATTGACGAAAGGCCCTACTACTGTAGCATGCCCTCGCAGCTTTCGCTGTTCAAGAGCGCAGCAGCATGAATTCACTTGACTTGGATCTTGGACTCTTCTGGCAGGCTCATGATGGCTCATGAAGTTGTTGGCTAAAAAAGTAAGAGGTCATAGCTACGCTTGGCCCTTCCAAGCAGCGATGTGGAACTCGTCCAATCAAGCCTAACGCAAACTCGTTAGCTTTGCCACTTCAGCAGAGCGCGCACATCCATGCGTTTACTCTGCCTGTTCCCCAGAAGATTGCTTTAGCATGGTTTCGCTTGCGATAGGAGCTGGTTGCCTGCGCAAAGCAGGTGATGATCGACAGTTTGTTCGTAATTTCCATCTCGGGAAATTACCTTGTGGAGAGGCTGGGCCCTTGGGCCCCTTCAGACCTACTGCAGCTCTTCCTTGCAAAGCATCTCTGAAAAGGGTGGATAACAGGTGCGTGCCAACATGATGGCTTGTAACAAGGCCCAGCACCTACACCCGTTGCATGGCCCGCTACATAAGATATGTAGCATAGAGCGGTTTTCCGCGAGACACCTCTAAATGTGTTCGCTAATTAACAGAAACAGTGAAAGAGCACGAGTGAGGGTATGTAACATGCCAGCGTGTTCAAGGGGCATGTAACAGAGGGTCCGGGGAGCTGAACGCCACAACACGGGGTTTTGGTACATAGCCAAACGAAGCTCTTTAAAGTAATCTTGCGAAGGTTGCAGTCACTGCTTGGAGCATGGTCAGGAATAAACAAAGCACAGATCAACAATCTTTGAGTTCGATCAAGCTAGACGGGCAGAAGCTCTGCATTTATGGAATTGTGTACGCACCACGCAAAGAGGGGCGTGCCTGGGCAGGTTGCACAACGTGGAAGACTTGAAAATAAATTCAAGATGCATGTGCTTCCGGGACATTAGCAACATGCCAGCCTTCAGACTTCGTTTTATGATGAACTCCTTGTTGTTACCACATGCATGTACTCTGCAGCCGGGCATGAGGCATTTTTGTGGACCAACGCCCCGCTTGGTCTGTGGATTCCTCAATTTGTGGACGGCTTGTTGCTGACCAGGGAAGCCCGTGTTGTTCTGCGGTGCGGGAATTCTAAGGCGAGCCGCTGCTCGAGAAACTGCGAGCTGGTGACAAGCTTGAGAGCTTGCCGCCTGCACAGCCCCTGGCCATGGTGTGATGTGTAGCTCAGGAGCCGATCAACGCTGCATCAATGCTAAGCCCAGGTGTTCAGTGCGAACAGGAAAAATGTCTTGATCCACGTCGTTCGCGTCCGGATCCTAGCACCGTCCAGCTACGTGCCTCCACTGTGCGTGCAAGGCCACGAGACCCATGAAGCATTTGCTACTCAAAGCCAACCGCAAGTCGCAAGCCCACGTGGTACCAGGTCAAACAACTGAAGCTGTGCAACGCATGTATAATATCAACATGTGTCCGTAACTGCATGTTGAATGCCTTCATGTTTACAACCTAACACAGGACCTAACGCCAGAATGTCTCATTACACTTCGACAACCAGTTGAAAACAGCTGCCTTGGTATGTCGTTTGCTATCGACTTCTGCTCTTGCCTTTCCTGCAATTGGACTTTCACCGGATGGTGGCCGCTGGAGAAGCTCGAAGGAAAGTTGCTGGAGGAGCGGTTTGCGCCTGAGGATCCCGTTCTGGCCTCTGCATTCCATGATGTTACGTGGCCACACATTCTTTCAACAAGGCTGGCAAAGCACCAAGCCCTGACGACTCCGGCAGTGATCGAGAACATTCCCGCAGCATTGCAAGCCTGGCCTTTCGCAGAGCGGATCAGTCGCACATACTTGCAGTGTATGGTGGTGTCTCAAGCTCTGCGTCGTACGAAAGAGGGACATGTACAAGGATTCCAGAAGAAAGAGTAGGTCTAGGCCACGAGGAAGGGTGCACTGACAATAGAGTTGGGTGAGCTGGAACGTGTTGTGACATGGCGCAGTGGCCTGGGGATGCGCTGAGGCATGGCGGGATATGCTGCGCATGGTGAACTCAGTTGTCAATGCAGGCCAAAGGCGCGTTGTGACATTGTCCACAGACATTGTACCTCACGCACAGCACACGCGCAGAACTGGCTTTATGATTCTTGCCAGTCTGTTTCACGTCGGTATGCGCGTGATCGGGCCATGCTTGGTCGTGCTGGCACTGTCTTTAAAAGGCAGGATTCTGTCTGTGAAGCTGCACGTCTTCTAATTGCTTGCGTGAATCCGTACCAAGTTTCGAAGGCTTTGTCACGTACACTTTCTTCTGGCACGGGCTGCCAACCATTCAAGAGAGAGCTGGAATGATTGGAAGCTCGCTGTTGTCATTGATGGGCGTATTTCTGCTTATCAACGCGCCACTTGGCTGCGTACGACGCCGTGACCAAGTCTACGATGTCCACGCATGGAGCTTCAGATTTCCATCCGCTGAGGTTGTACAACTACTTCAAGGCCTGAAGAACTTTGCAAAGATCACGGAAGAGCTGTAGATTCGTAGATGTCGTAGATGGTCCCGGAGGCCAGGTTGCCCGTGCTTTGCGCTGAGGCTGTCTTCACTTCAGCTGGATTGCCACCAGACTTTGAGCAGGAGAGGTATGTGTATGCCTGCAAGAGAAAGCGTGACGTACCCACACTGTACACACTGGAACTCCAAGTCCGCAGGGATTCCGTTTGAACGTCTCTGAGTGCTGCCCTGGAGGCCAAAGCATCCGTGGTGGAATCCTGCGAAAACCCTGAAGTTGTTCCCAGGCATGTTGCGCCATCCTATCCTTGCGAGAGCAGGGATATGCAGTCGTTGGCCCAATCTTTTGTTTCAGGAAATGTCCCAAATGTGCTTTGCTGAAGCCTCCGCGTGCACATCACTGCAGTGTTTGCGGTGTGTGCGTCAAGAAGATGGACCACCACTGCCCGTTTCAAGGTTGCAAGTAGAATCAAGTATATGGCAATGTTAGAGAAGCTTGTCCAGAAGTGGATCCCTAAAGGGAGATAGACCGGGAGTGTGCTTCGTGACATACCTTCGCATGTGCTGTCCTGTTTATCTTCCACTGGAAGTTATGTTTCTATGTTTGTTGCAAGTGCGACGAGAATTCCCGTGGCCATCACCGTCTGGACTCCATCTGAAGTGGTTTGATTTCTCTTTCACCAAAAATCGCATCAAGGTCAGGTCCGAGCAGATATTCTCAGCTATTCTACCCAGCTAAAGTAGGGGGTCATAGGCAGCTTTCTCGGCGAGACCACCCACAAGCAGCAACTATGCTTGCAGTGAGGCATGTCAAGCGCATATTCTGACGACAATCTCAACCTTGGAATCCTGCAACCACATCCTGGCATTTGACAACCGAAATCTTTTTTCCCGTGATGATCATCATGTGCGAATGACCTTCAGGCATCAGGCAGGCAGAATCTATCGCTTGAAGCTATCTCAGGCATCGCGCGTGACTTGAAATTCTAGAATTCTAGCGGAGGTTATCCAAAAAGCCCGAGTGGACTTTTTTTTTATACAGGGCGACCACCTTACAACTTTGGCGGCGTAATGTGACTTGGAGCTCTAGTCTTCTTTTGCGTTTGGCACGCTCAAAGACACCTCATCATGCCAGGTTCGCCTAGGATGCCTCCTTGGAAGTTGGCTTTCAGACAGACGATTCCTTTCTTAAAACGCTGATTGACAGTTTGTGTTGAGCCAGTCAAGTTACACCTGTATCAGAAGTCGCTTTGCGTACTGTATGTAAAAGGGATTTTCACGAGCAAGCTCCAGACCCCCATCCCCCACCAGTAGATCTCAGAGCGTCCCACAATTTGTGGCGAGATTTTGCAGCCAGGTGTCCGTGAATTCGCAGACTTCTAAAATACATTTGGCTTTTGTAATGAAGACCATTCCCTTTTGGAACCATGATTAGCATCTCATTAAAACTTTTTCCTGTTTTTATGAATATCGCGCGTAAAAACTGTCATTTCCGAATGTAACCTCAGTTCGGATTCGTTGTCATTTTTGCTGCGTCTGCAAGACTTGAAGGTTCCAGCTGCTGATGGACAAATCCTGGGTTTACCGGAAGTTTATCAATGCTTTTTAGGCCATTCAGTTAGCCTAGCTATTGGGGTTCTCACTGGACAAGGAGGAGCTTGGGCGGCCTTTCTTGCCATCCGGGCAGGGTGCTGCGTGGGGGCGATTTGTCTGAAAATGATCCAACATGGGAAAGTTTCCCAATATTTCGGGTGTGGAACAAGCTGGGCGGGGACATTCCTTCCATACCCTGATCCCTTTGGCATTCAGCGGCAAATATAAGGAATTTGTTTGCGTACTCGTTGGTTTGCTAATGAGGGCGTAATACAGGTTTTTGTTAGTCGTGATTGCCGCTAACTGCCCCAAACAACGATCAACCATCATTAAGAACAGATCACCGCATTACAACCATGATATCCAGTGTCACATCACATCACACGGCAGCTGAGTCTGTTGGAATGTTCTGTTTTGCAACTGAGCGTGGCCAAACTGTGCACGTATCAACGTGTCCGCTCCATGATTGGTTTGCTTTAGGTGGATCAACAACTGCGTTGGCCACTTGGAAGCAGGAGGTCGTCTTGTGCACATGCCAGCTTGGCTCTTCTCCGCTTATCTTGCCAAGGCTTCGGCAACTACAGATATTTTTGCTTGTTCTTGCTCTTCCTGGGCGTGGCCTGCCTCTTCATTGTTTGCGTATCTTGTCTTGACAAATCAGATTGGCTGCACTAGCAGTAGTATGCTTCCACAGAATGATGGATTTGGCCGCTGTGTTGCCAAGCAATTCTTGGCTCGGCTTGGCTGAGGTATTTGCATGGTTTTTCTACGATGTGATCTTTACCTGGTCTCGTCTGGGCACCCGAGTATTTCGACAATGCATCCTTACTTCTTTTATGCGTCTGGGCCAGGAGGCAGATATCTGCATAACTAATAACTAACGGCAATGTCAGCTGTGCACCCATCACGCCTCAAGAGGCTTGTGTTGGGCCTGCAGAGGATGGGTGACATCTAAGGATATGTGCATCAATCATGGCGGCCGTTTGCATGCTAGGTGGTTTCCACACTTTCTTGGTGCCCAAGCTCAGAGTTTGTGAGGCCTTTTGGAAAGTTGGTGCCGCGGTGCTGCATGATGTCAGGTGCTGACGAATCAAACAACAATAGAATTCCAAGTCAACATGATGAAGCGGCGCGAGAGTCGCTACAACGGTGAGCCTCACGGATGCAGTCAACCTTGTAGACATGCACGGCGCCTTCACAAGTGCAGCGACCAGTGTGTGTGCACATTGCGTCTGATGCAGATGGTGCGAGGTTTTTCCGAAATCCTTATGACATGGGTCGCAGTCGCAACTGTCAAGAAGTCTTCGGACGCTGGGTCAGCTTCAGTGCTAAGTTAGTAGGGTTGGAATTGATGCCAAGGCACGTTTGCACCGGGACTAGGCAGCAGAGGACGTAGTGGAAGAGGAGAAACGGGCGGGGTGGCTCATGCAGAGGATCAATTCTTGTGCTAGTTTTCCGTGAGCGTGCCAAGCTCCACAACAGAAAACACATGTTGCGGTAGAGGTCAACGTCACTTATAGTGTAAGTTGGCTGAGGCGCAGTCTCAGTTGAAAGACTTGACTGGGACAGCCCCTTGAAGAGGTGTCGCACAGCCAGAAAGCCAAGACAACAAGAGGCCTGTGTGACCGGGTCCTCATAGAACTGCCGTCCACAAGGGGGGCCAGATGCAAATCCAAGTCCAAAGCACTACGCAACAGAGTGGACCAACAGGTGCCAGAGACAATGCAGCACAAGAAACCTGACATACTATCCCCCAGCATGCTGACCCTAAAGGGGTCAACTAGTGGCTCCAATGGAGGGAGTGTGATGTGGTGGTCGGTGACCTACCCAAGGGTCGCAAGCAAGCTGTTTATCGACCCCCCAGGTACAGTAACATGTATTTCTGCTTATTCAACATGCAAGCTGTTTGGTTAGATCCTCCAGCCCAGAAATGCAAGATTGAATGCAGCGTGGCATTTTTGCATGCGACCGCTGGCCAAGGACCGAACCGCTTGTGGAGTTTCATTTGGCTCTTCCCATGGATGGGGGCCTGGTTGCGGGCAAACACTTCTGTCCTTGACCACATTTGGGCACTGGGTGTCGGCCTTTTGCAACCCCTGGCCCTGCAGGCCTTGCCGCCTTCGGGTGATGGCTTGAAATATGCCTCCATCTCTCGTTTGCAAATTTGACGATGCCGAAGCTGCACCACTTCGGGACGCCGCTGACGAGGGCTCAGCTTGGGCAAAGCTTCCAATCATCAACAAAGCTGTGCAAGCTATTTTTTCCTTGGAGCTTGTTCGCTGTCGTCCTTTGGCAAGGTGAACTATGGCTGCTCCCAAAGTGCTGCTGCAGGGCTGATGCTGATACCTGGCGTTGGCTTGTTGTGCCGGAGGTGGACAAAAAGGCTTGCCCGTTGTGCCTCCCACTACGCCCGAAGCAGTCCCAAGAAGAGGTTTTTATGCGGCTATTACGCTTTTCTTGCTGAGGACAAGATCCTCTTCTTGGCAGTCGTCTCGCACGAGGCCAAGGGTGAAGTGCATCTGCCAGCTTCCAGAAACTTTGCTCTGAGAGCTAGCAGAGGAGCCCCCACTGGCCATTTTCGAGCTGCTTGACCGAGTGTACCAGGCATAGCCACGCATTGCCACCCTTGACTGCCAGGGTTATGTCAGTATGTCGTGGCATTGCGCGAAGGTGCTTTTCAGATACTTGGGCGAGGTAAGCGAGGATGCACTGCGGCAGAACTTCTCCACAGTGCTGCTTTGTTGCACTGCTTTGGAGTATCAACAAACCATTTCATGTCATAAGAAGCTAGAGAAGCCAAGATATCTGCTGCTGGACGAGATGATAGACAGTGGTCTTCCTTTCACAACGGAGCTGAATAGCCTTGAGGCTGTCTGCAAATGGGTAGCTTTGTTTGTTTTGTGCCTGATCCCTGTCAGTCCATCATCGCCCCACCTTCAGCCATAGGAAAGGTTGTGCAGGCAGGAGCCTTCTCTAGGCAACGTTTGGATGTCAAACAAAAACTCAAGCTGGAAGGCGGTCTCCGGCAGCAGCACGCAGGTCCTTTCAGACGTGCCGCTTGAATCTGCCGGCCAGGCTCAGATCTGAAGCATCACTTGAACATCCATTCGTAGCAGCATGGTTGAACTGTTGAACTCGTGAGGCTGGACCTCTTGGAGCTTTGTCTTCGGCTCTTGGAGCCTTGTCGTCGCCCGTCTCAATCCTCCCCGAGCTGTGTGATTTTTAAGGCAAGCCCTCGCATCTTCCCAAGGCATGCCCAGATTGGTGGCGCCTCTGCCGAGGTTGCTGGCTGCGATAATGCAGAGCTAGACATTTGAGCTTCTCTTCGGTGTGATGCTGCAGACACCGCTGTCTTCAGCTAATTGCAAGCCCTATTAGTCTCCAACGAAAGAGGGCGCTCCTTCTTGGTTGTGGTTCAGCTTTGTCAGCAAAACAGTAAGCAATACTCCTGTTCCTTAAAGCATCGAAGCTAGCTGCCTGCGAGGTGTGGTGGCGAAAGCAGAACGTTGCCTACGGTTCCAACGAGGCCGCGCAGTTGGCATTTTTCACCATGAATGCATGCTCATTGGTAAAGCCATTCGCGCCCTTGACTCAAAGATGTTCAGGCTTATGTTGATATCGTTGAAACGGTGAGCTGCATGTGCAACGGCAGTGGCCACATTGCCAGCAGCCTACACTACTTGGATGTCAGGACCACTCTCCTGCTTCAGGGCAGTTTCAGTCAGCATTTGTCTTGGGTCTTTCTGACAACCCAGGTCTCCGGAGGCATCAGCGGCGAGATCTTGATGACTAGCAAGCTCAGCGGTGTCCCTGAGGCATGTGCTGGATTGGCTGTTAATGAAGGCAGCTTTGTTTTGAAAAGGGCAATGCCCAGCATCACAGGTTCTTCTCAGCCTACGAAATCCCAGCATCTTGCAGAACGTCTCGTTTCATCCCTGTGTCGCACTCTCAGTGCTTTAACTTTCCGTGCTTCTGTGCACAAATTCCGCTTCTCAGCAAAGGGTAGGGAGCGTGCCATACAGCAGGTCAAGCTTCCTCGCTATCACAGAGATAAGGCTGAAGTGATTAATGCAGTGGGCATGACTTGCAGATGGACGGCATGGGTAGTCTTCACAGGCACTCTCGTTCATTCCTCCGGATGGAGAATTCTCTCTGGCCAATGCACCTTGGCACGCTTGTGTTCTGATAGTCCGGTGCAGTCGTAGCCTGCAGAGCAATTTTCATGCATGCTGTGGGCGCGGCAGTATTGGATTCCTGACATCACCTTGAACTTGCCCTTCCACTTCTCGGTCTCTGTGAACTACCACTCCGACCATGGGAAAGTGCAGGCGGATCGCTTGCCAAGCTTCTCATATCAGCTCGTCACGCGCCTTTCAGAGCCATTTGCGGAGTGAGGAATTTGCTGTCGGGAGACGTTTTCTTTTTGTGACAGATTGCGGCAAGCCCCAAGCTCGCCGTCACCATGCAGCACAAGCAGATGCTCATCGACAAGTGGCCAGCCCAGTTTTGAATTTGACGCGTTTCCTGAATGCACTTGACAGCGCGGGCTTGCCTGTCTTTGTGGCCAACCCAGGTTCGTTGTGAACGTCCGCCTTCCTGCAAGCATAGCTGGTGCAAACCTTGCTTGATCCTTACACTTCTGCCGCGTTGCTATGGGTTGCTGCTGAGGCAGAACCTGTTTGACTCAGCTGTCCGACTGTCGAGGCGTGTCAAGGAGGCAGTGTTCGCTTTGATGACGAGTCCAAGGCAGCAAGTTTTCTCTGAACACATTAACCCTTCTCCTGGCTCTTAGTTGTGTCACGGGAACAGAGCAGTTTTCTTTCAGCACCTCTGTTTAATCCAAACCTGCTAGCAGAGAGCCCACAGCACCGGTTTCGAGGTCATCGTTTGGAACCTGGGCAAGTTGGCCAGTCAGGCTTCGGACGGCAAAAGCTGAAGCTGTCAACGATGGCTAGTTTGAGCTCCGTCAGGAAAGCAAAGCAGAGGGTACTCTGACCTACGCCACAAACCCAAAGGCCATGGCGCCGAACAGCGTGCTCCCTGCTGTGACAGTGCCTTTCCTACCCCAGGATGGTAGTGTGCAAATTCCCGATGAAGAAAAGTCCACAGCGCAGCTGGCCGCATGCTGAGGAGTAAAGTTGACAGCAAACCGGAAAATACCTGAAGCTATCCATGAGTGTGCTCAGTGCTGAGGCATTCCAAATCAAGGGCTGGGCAATCTCAGGTTTACGCCTGAGCTTTTGAGATGCAGCGGTGCGCGCAGGCTTTGTATGCTTCCTGTGCCAGGAATCCGGCTTGATGCTTGCGATGTCACCAGTGTGAACTACACCCCCTACAAAGCATCCAGGCACTGACGGCTTGTTAGCGATCTTATCATGCGGCATTTGCTCAATGTCCGCAGCTTGTTGACGCATTATTAGCTGGTTCCCGTATCGCATGATGGCGAGGCTTCTGTGAAAGCCCCAAATATTAGGGGCTGTGCCGCGATATTCTAGAGGAAGAAGGCCTTGGACCCAAGCTGATCTATCCCCTGCAGGTACACTACCACCGCTGGTAAGATTGAGTACCGGAGACTGGACTGCACAAAATCTACAGATGTTCATTACAGATGCTCATGCAGAAGGATCGGTACCATAGATGATCTGCAGATCTGAGGATTGCTTGAAGCTGATGTTTGCCAGCAACAGTTTCCACAGCTAAGCATCGGACAACTCGAGACACCAGACCGCCTCATCCAAAACAGAGTCCTCGAGTTTACTTGCAAGCACATGGAAATGAAGGTGATTTGCTCTGACTGCAACTTGGATCAAAGTTGCCCCTGCATATGCAGCAAGATGCAGAAATATGTAGCGCATTCCAAACGACGCGCAACTTAGCAGCCACTGCCATCCCAACAAAACCACTAATCACATGCCAAGAAGTTGCCAACAAGTACCATGCGGGCGGTCCTCACAGCGGCGGCTGAGGTGCGAAACGGAGGTTCTCGCTTTCTGTACTAGCCGATTCACTTCTCAGGAACACGGGATTTGAGCGCCCCAAGGTACTCTTATGGCCGTTTGGCATACGAAGGAGAAGCGGCAAGCGAGGTGATTGCCTCTTGCTCAGCGGCCAAGCGACGGAGCCTTTTCTTGTTTCAAGAGTTTGCCGCTGTATGTTGCCTGTCTTGCATTAGGTGATCAAGATGGAGAGGGAAGCGATTGGGAAGTGGTTGCGCCCTCAGCTGGGAAAAATCACGACGGGCCCTTAGCACCAAGCATGCTGAAGGATCCAACGCAGCTTGTAGCTGCCGTGTCTGGCGCCAGCTTGGCCTATTGGGCTTGGGGCAGGCCCCGCTCGTCAAAGCGTCACTTCGATGTGGCGCTGCAAGCACCTCGTGAGGATGCGATCCCAGGCACCTCACAGCCCGGGCACTCCCAGTGAGGAGCCTAATTACTAATTCTATTCGTGGTTGTGCCTTACACTTCGGTGTGATCTCAGCATTTGCCTGAGGTTTGGAGGTGCTCTCCTGAGCGTGCCATTCCATGTTGTTTCCAGAGTGTCACTGCAAGTTGAGTTCTGGTTGCAAGAAGTGTTGCAGAACGTTCTCGACCAGGCGCCACCTTCAGTGTCGTATCCTCAACATGCTCCAGCTTTGTGTAGAGAATCACGCCGCTTCTGAATCAGTCTTGCAGCTCTCAGGACACGGATCCCTCTTTCGGAGTTCCTCTCTTTGCTGCGGGACGGTGCAGTTACAGACCCACTGGCACCTATTTTGCCGCTCTGTTAGCCTTGACGGCCCTTCCAAGATTGCCAGGCAGTTAGTTACCTGGCAGACCGCCCGCCAGCCGGAGCTTTGCTCTTGAAGGTCCTCAAACGGGTCATTCAGAATTTCTCACATGGTGCAGGGGCGTCTGTTATCTGCAGGCAGCTGTTCCAACACTTGCAACCATTGCCAGCCAGTCAGGCAACGTCTGCAGCAGGCTTCTAAGCGAGGGTTAGCGCTGCAGTGCTTGCTATCAGAAAGGCAAGCCTTTGGCAGCGCCGGCGCGTGCGGAGCAGTCCATGGAAACGCTTCTTTTGCCGCAATCTTGGCCTATGATGTAGTTGTCAGTTCAACCGAGCTGCATGTTGCCGCGCATGAGCCAGTGTAAGCTTGCTTTGCCCCATTCTTACAGTTCCAGATCTTCGCAGTTGCAGAGTCCTGCGGTCAGCTTCCATGTGAAGCGCGGTCTTTTTTTTTAAAGTCTAGGGCTATAGGGGGAGCGACACAAAGATTTGGAAACAACATTTTAGGTAAGAAAACGATAGGCCACTCACCAAGAACGATAGGTCGAAATTTCCAAAGACCATTCTGGTACTAGAGTTATACTACTAGAGAACGAAAATCCATCCGGTTGCGGGAGACGGCCATTCCAGTACTAAAGTTGTACTACCAGCGAACGAAAATCCATCCGGTTGCTTCAGGGCCCTTCGCGTATTATACTTGTACTAACAGAGAAAAACCACCAAAGCTTGGAGAACGATAGGCCACTCACCAAAATTGAATCTGCAAGCCCCCACAAGGAATTTAGACCGTGCATCAGGTTACACATGTTGCCAGATTGCACAATAAAGCGATTTGGCACGCGTATGAAGCATGGTGGAGTTCTCCGGACATGGAGCCCTTCAGATTACAACAACATGCCCGGCTGCTAGAATCTCTGGGACACCCGAGCAGGTGGGCAGCTTGGGTGCCAACTGAATGTCTTGCAAGCCTGCAGCAATGTTCGGTCCAAAGGTTTGCAGGTCTCCAAGTCAATTGAGGCTTCTGTCTCAAAGACTCAAGCTGTGCAAGCTCCGGGATCTGAGGCCAGGCAGCCACCAGGGCGTCTTTGAGGACCAGCGGTTACACGTGTTTCGGTGCAGAATTTCACGCACAACTATTACACCCATGGAGCCGCAGCTTCCAGCTCAAAGGCTCACGTCTCTCATACATGCAAATTATGAAGCATGCCCAGCAATGTTTCAACTAAGCCTCGCAAAGCCTTGCAAGAACCGGAACAAAAGTAGCATACGTCGGCTTGGCTAGACCATACGAATGCGCCTGGGATGTGCCAAAATGCCGTCAGTGGCCTGCTGCGCTTGATAGGACTCGCCTGGTTGCATACTTTTGTCACAGGTACTCTTTGCATCTCCCGCCTTGCAAAACAAAGATTTCAATGTTCGATTCAATGTTCTGGGCCATACTCAAGTCGGCATTCTGAAGGAACATGTTTTGGGGGCTACGAACCCCGAACCCCAAGCCGTAAGAATACCGCCCCTTGTACAGAACCATGTGCGGATACCTCCTTCTTCCTGCAGCGGGAGGCTTAAGCCCTGGGCCCGGAGTCGGGCGAGAAAAGGTGATTCTCTATGGCGTAGATGGTTTACAATGAGGATTGATTGAAGGAACATGGAGTGCTGGAAGCAGATCATTAATTCATCGGATTACTATCGGGATTAGTAGGTACCACGGGGGATCGTATAAGCCTGGAAAACACTTGGGTGAGCAAGTAGTGACTGACAACTCAGAAAGCCTTACTGGGCAGAACACGACCTGGCAACCTCAGTTTATCCTAAATACCTCACAAGGCAGCAACGAATGATCGCCAATTACCGGGAGTCAGTTCAGAATCAGAGACTCTATCAGAAGCTTCAGTAAGCAGAAGCACGCACCAGGACCAAGAGCTTGCTAAGGGGTCGAACATAGCTGGTCTGAGATCTGAAAATCAAGAGCCTGATGAAAGATGCTTCGAAGATCCAACCTGCTGCACCATAGGCAAGGTGAGTGCCCAGCACTGCACAGTAGTGAGCCATAGTGAGCCTGTAGACTGCTCGGCTTCTGCTCAAGGACTTTGATATACTTTGGTTGAATACGTTGCTGAGCTGCCGTTTGCCTGCTGAGAGATACCCCCCCCCAAACATCTCCAAGCAGCCAGATGTTCAAATGCGCTCTTCACAACAAAATCATGATACAACGGGCATCAATGAGATATAAGAGCAGCATTGTGCCGCGCAGCTTTTCCATACAGTCGTGCAGAGGAGTCGGGCAGAAGGAGGACTTCATCGAGGGTGACGAGGCAATGTTTCAGGAACTCGCACCTGCTGACATTCATTGTGGTGACACAACAGGTTCCTGAAATCTACAACCAGCGCTACGCCACTCAGCTTTTTCAGTACAGCGCCAGCGCTGGATAAGAAAATCCTTTCCGGGGCCAGGGTAGTCTGAATTTCTTATTCTTCAAGCCGCCTGCCCGAGCGAACTTCATGGTATCTGTCATGTCAGGGTACTCTGGTTTTCTTAACTGTGTTTCTTGTTCTTTCTTGTTGTAGCCTCGCTCGTAGCTTTCATCAGGCAGTGGGCCCTCCCAAGACAGTCACTTTCTTATTCCAATGTCTTTTTAAGTAGCGGTAGCGCTGTTTGTGCAAAGAGAGTGCCTTTGAGGCGCGGCATCCCAAGTCCCAGCAACTGCCGCAGCTTCTGCAGAGAGTGCTGGCGGACGCGGCCCAGGAGCTCGATGCTGAGAAGGCCCTCGATATTGCAAACGATTGCAGAAGCATGACAAGCTATTCAGCTTTGGCATTGACTGCACCCGCTCCTCGCTACATCTCGCCTTTGGCCAATGGGTTCAGGCCTACGTCCGTCCGCGGAGGACAATCGCAAATCTGTAAGGCCAGCATCTCACCTTGATGATTAAGTGCAAGGAGATTTCCGCTGCACTTCCTTCATGGCACGCTTCAATCTTCAGGTTCTGTTCAAATCCATGTTGAGCACAAGCCAGCTTCTGGCTCCTTCAGGACTGAGCCATGCTGTCTACTACTTCCAGGCAGGGGAGTCTACAGGCATTCTGGATCTTCAGCTTCCTTGATGCAAAGGCAGATGAAAAAGTGATCGGCTTATTTACAACTTTGGTTCTGTGTGCGAGCGCCGTGGTCTGCATAGTGATGCAGCGAAGCTGAGGATGTGATCCAGCAAGTTCTTGTCCATTGGTCATTGAGTGAGACATTGCAGGGTCCACCAGGCGAGTTGTAGATCCGGTTGAAGACACGAAAACTAGATCAACGCCAATGCCTCAACCTTTTGAGGTTTCGCAGTGCTGCAGGCGGCTGTCATGGAGGCTGTTCGGCAGCCTTGATGGACGATGCGCCCCTCGGAGACAACACTGGGTGTTGGGACATAGCAGGGCTGCGCAGTGCTCTGCGGGCAAAACACGTTGTTGGACATGAGGTTTGGTGCCTTCACTAACACTTATTTGAGAAGTTTGGGTCGCAGCGGGCGCGCTGTCACTGCGACACTTGACAGCAACGAGCGAATCTGTCTCTGTCATTTTGAAACTAGACGGGGTGCTTGTTTCTGAGACAGCAAGGTCTCTACAAGTGGACTACAAGGCCATTCTATCAAAGGACAAGGCTGCCAGCTTGAATACACTTTGCCTTCAGCCTCGCAAGGCGAAGATTCCGCTGCCTTCAGAAATGGTGCCTCGGCTTGGATATCTGTTGTGAAATTGTTAGACCATCTGAACCAGAGTCAAGATTGGACTGTGAGGTGTGCGTGGTGCCTCGAAAGCAGAGAAGTGTGGTCTTGGCGTGGCTGACCTCTGTGAGTCTTAAATCAGGTAAGTCTGGAGCGAGCGGAGGGCCGCAAGATTTTCTTGAAAGGCCACCTGGAGCCCTGCCTCAGTAAACTGTGCAACATCTATGTGAAGCTGTGGAGGCTATGCAATTGTGCAGACGACTTCGCTCTCCCTGCAAACTGCATGCCAAGCTACAGCTCTCTTTATAGAGCTGAAGGCCTGTGCTCTCGCAGAAGTAAAGTGAAGATCTTTTGTAAAGCTTGGCAGGACCAGGCCAGCGCGACAGACGGCAAGACTCCATGATGCACTCTAGCAAAAGAGCGTTGACCAGAATGACGACGCAAAGCTCGTTTGAACCAGTTCACCTGTGGCTGCGCATGCTGTGCACGGAGTGCAAAGTATGCTCCCAAAACAGATGGCAGGAGCTCCGATCCCGATCGGATGTCAAATTCGAGTGCCGTGAAATGCCTGCGGGTTCAGACTCTGAGATGAACAGGCCTAACGAACCGCTGGCATTTGCACATGCCCTTTTGTTCCTGTGGCTTGGAGTAGGTGCAAAATATGCATGTAAACCATGGAGCAGGCTGTCTTTGCTAATTGATCTTGGTGGCCTGGTGGCCTCCCTTGGAGCTCTCTGGTGCGCTGAATCATGAGACTGGCTCATGACCCAGATGTTGCGACATGAATGCTGCAGGTACATGCTTCGGAGCAACGGGCAGACCTTCACTGCTAAGCACTTGGAGGCCTGAACAGATCTGTAGCATCTTGTAGCTCTGCTCTCTTGGTCTTCATGTCCTCGAGGGGCAAGCGAAAGTCTGCAAAGATGGTCTTGGAATCCTTGTGGGGTTCTCAACCGAACGCCAGATGATTGTGTCCTGGCGCCATGCGAAGTGTAAAATCACCTCCACACCTTGGAAAAATACAGTAAAAGGACAAGAAAACAATAACAACCTTTCAGGTCAAACAAACGTCGGGGGGCCTCAAAAGGTAGGGTAAAGGAAGGTGGGGTATAGGGAATGAGCCCCAATGAGTATATACTAGGGATTTAGCCCACCTAGCTTCATCACGTTTTGAGCCCCGTAAAACAAGGGTTGTTTGAATGCAACCCCTTGTGTCCTGTGCCTCACTCTTCACACTGTGACAGCTACAGTAAGCTGCCTGCAGTCCCCAGCGGATGGGGGCGTCAAGATGGCCACATGTTGCGAATCCGAATCCGCCGGCGTAGGAAAATCGAGACTTCAATCGCCGGCCTGCCGTCACCTTCGAAGATGTAGCAGGCCTGTTGCCAGTGTCTTGTCTTGTTTTACGCTCCCACAGCCTTGTCCGATTGTCCGACAGGAATGGAGGTTACGAAAGAAGAGCTGCATGAAGCCAAGCTTCTGTTGACGCTTTCCACGGCGTTGTTTTTGTGAACTCAAGGCAAGAGGTCATCGCCTATCTGCGTTCGCCTTGCGGAGCTTGCTGACACCCACATGCGCGCCTGTGCTTCCAGAACACTGGCAGGTGACCCAAACAGATTCTACGCTCTGGGCACCTGCCTTGGTACTCAGCACAGCCCGCACCAACTTAACTCAGAAATGAGCCGAGGAGCACGTCCACCTCGAGGTATTCTGTTGGCAGGTCCGAGTGGCACTGGCAAGACGCCGGATCGCCAGTCCTCCGTGTTGAGGGTCATTGCTGAACTACTGCCATTGATCTTCAAGCAAGGCTGATGGCTCGCGCAGTTGCTGGGGAGGCATCTCACTCGTGCAACGTGCACACTACTAATTCCAGCAAATTTCAGACCAAAGAAGACCACAAAACAACACTTTTGAACCGTGTGGAACCGATTGCTCATGCACGGAATCGTGAATACTGAGTTGCGAAGACTCCTGTACCATCAGTTCTCTGAGTCCTTATCGATTATCATCTGGTACACTCGCGCAATCCTGACAGACAGCCGTGGACTCAGCGATTGCTGCAGGCTGGCGTTCCCTTTCTTTATGCCAGCTCTGCCTCTTTCGTTGAGATTTTTGCCGGATCCCGAGCAGCGGCCAAAAAGACAGTTCCATGGATCAAGTGATGTTGCTGATGCAGTCAACTTACTTGAATGGGTATTCTCTGTTCTGCTCTGCATTGAACATCAGATGAGAGTTTGTGAGGTTGGCCAAGGAGCGCAGCGGATCCGGCAATTTTTTGAGCAGGATGGGTCTTGCATTGAGCGTTGTGTGGCATGCTACATGATTGAAGATACGCTTGCCAACTGTAGCGCTTGCACGGTTGCTGAAGTGGCATGGAAGTTGCAGGCCCGCGCGTGTGCACCCTGCATCGTCTTTCTGGATGAGCTTGATGCAGTCGGATACTGGCTCAGAGGTTCATTTCTGGAGCCTGACACACTTTTCTAGTGGTGAATGCAGTCACGTAGTGCCAGCCTGAGGCTCATCCAGGCAGATGTCCGCCTCTGGCGGTGGTGGAAACCAGGCAATGCTTTGAATCAAAGTTGGCCAATTGATCATGGCCCAGCTCTGAAGGAATACGCCCAGACCCTGAACCAGTTGCTGCTGGAGTTTTGGCCTTGGCAGGTTTCCACCAGATTACAAGATGGCTTTTGTACGGTTTGTTCAGGCTGGATGGTGTTGAGAGCAATGCAGCAGGCACGGCAGTCTTCATGATTACAATGCCTCAAATGCGTGGCTTGCGCATTGCAGTTCATATACGTGTCCACAAAGCCGCGGGGCTACGGGGCCAGCACCCAGAAATACATGAAGCAAGCAATGACGAACATGGCTCGGATATCTTTAGAGTGAGGGACATATCAGCATGACATAGCATGACGGCGGAATGGATCTGAGCAAGCCATGAGACGTCGTGACTCGCATGCATCAGTGCCAAATCCAAAGCCCGGCCTGATGCCCCGCCTAAGCAACAAGCTTTGGGATGCCCGCGCCTAAGCTGACGCACCGTGAACTGCACAAGACCTGTTAGCAGCCTTAAAGGTCCGGCCGTGGCCGGTCACAGCCTGGCCAGCGAAGGAGCCATGAGCGAGTGCTCCCTGTGCTCTCAGCTGGCCTTGGCATGCCTTGGCCTGTCTTTGACACCAGATACCGAAAGGTACTTGGAACTGATGCGGTGCGCTGAGACTTGCCAACCTACTCCGTTTGGCAACCTCGTGCTGGCCAAAATTTCTTCTGCCCTGAGACCAGGTGCCGTGGGAGAAGGTTGAACCTTTCAGCACGTTTGATGCGTTTCCCATTCTTTCGCAGGCGCATCATTGCAACGGGCCAATGTAATCATGACTGGCAATTCTGCTCCGCACAGTACTGCCAAGCCAGGCTCCCAGGCTTCAGGTGTGGGAAAGGGGGAAGAATCTGCTGGCAGACTGGTCACCCTCTGCCGCGCAGGATGCACCAAAGCAAAGTGGAGGGAAAGGATGGCAAAGCTTTCCACATAAAGGGTGGGCGGGCAAGTCGAGAAGGGGTTTGTGGGAGAGCATAAGCTAGATGTGAGCGCCAAGTGGTTTGACCTTATCAAGCCTGACTGGAGGGAGAGTATATAAAGGCCCACGATTCCTGTGAATAGAAATGCATTAACTGAGTCCAGTCTTGAATTCAGCTCGCTAGGGGCTTGTAAGGGTTCTCAGACGGAGATTCAACGGACACGCTGTTGGCTCCTGGGAGCCTAGGAGAAAGTCAAACAGAAGCCCATTGAAACCAGCAACCTGAGCCAGGACAGCCAAGGGCTGTCAGGGAAGCGCAAACGAAGTTGCTCACCCGAAAGACTTTTGGGACACTGATGCCATGTAGCGTGCAGGGTTGGAAGAGTCAGTCGTGTGTCCAGAATGGGGTCGTGTCGCAGGCAAAAAGTGCTTTTCAGTGGTATTGCGGCGATGAAGCCGGCGACGGGTCCTCAGCTGACCCGGCATCCAAAGGCTGCAAGGACTTAATGCAAGAACACCAGGCACGTGTTACATGGGAGCGCGTGCAGCTAAGACCAGGTCTGTGCCAGACGTGCTATTGAAGCAGGGCTGTGGGTACGGGTCAACCGTCGCTGCCCGAGGCTGCAAAGTTTATGGGCCAGTGTTCTCGCAAGTGTGCTCCGCTATTGACTACTTCAGCGGGCTACCTGATGAAGCTGTCTGGAGCTCACAGCTGCTGGTGGAGGGTGAGATGAGGATGCCTCGCAAAGCTTAGCTCTGCAGTCAGGCAGACAGGCAATCAGCCTTCTTCGAAAATCTGACAAGGTCCCTGTGCTCTTATTCATGTCTGTCGGCTTCGTTTGTGCATGACCACCATAACCAAGCCGAAGCATGGCCCATGTAAACCCTTTTACCAAGAGGGTTTGCAGGGCTTAAGCGACTTTCAAATCATCAGGGTGTGGGTGGCAGCCGCGGAATCATTGTCAGACACTCAAAAGAACAGATGACAGATATACCTGCGACTGTTTACATGAAGTTATGCGATGTGGAGGCCGATTACAGCGCCTTTCTTTGCAACAGCTCACCATTGTCGAGGGGATCGGACCAGGCTCAGCTGAGCTGCACTGAGCTGCATATTTCAAGTGCCTGCCCTTGGCATTGCAGATGGTGTGGCAGCGGTGTGGCATTGCCAGGTCTCAGAGGGTGGTGCGGAAGGCGATGATCTGCAAGCTTCATTGATTGCCTTCACGTGACGATGTCATTTCTGCAAATGAGTGACCATGCCAGCGGCGCTTGTCAGCGTGTGCAGTGTCAGCATTTCAGTATTATGACGAGTGATGTTTGACTACTTGCCGCAGCGTTCTGCTACAACTTGTTCAATCACAAGTTACACGGCCGCATCCAAGAATTTGTTCATGGACGTCTCTGAGTGTTACTGTATTACTATATGCTTCACATAGGGGAGGGTAGGGTCCGGATGCCTATGCCCATGCCCAAAGCTGGTCCCAACGAAATGGAGATGCCTGGAGGCGACGAGGCGCTGACATCCCTTGCTGAAGTTTCCATTCTTCTGCCACTGGCACGCCATGCTTTTGTTCAAGCAACTGACTGTTTAACATCATTGTGTGGGAGCCTACGGCCTGGACGCATCCTGACGGCGTCACATGTTCGTCGTTCGTCACTGCATACGGTCCCCAAAGTGTATGCAAAGTTCTGCTGCCGCGCTAGAGCTCAGCACTCATGATGACAGCAGTTGTCTATCAAGCTTGTCCACTCCCAGTCTGTTTTGCGCGTTTTGCTGAGTGGGAACCACACCTTTCGGCCTGCCTGAGCGTTTTGAGTGGACACGTTGGACATTGACTGCATACCGTTGCTCCAGGTGACTAAGGGTAGCAGTGAACTGGCTGCCCTCCAGCTTTAGCAGACTTACTTGGAGCCTAAGCACTCCAACAGAATCTCGCCTATGACTGAAAGCGATGACTCATGCCCATCGACATCATGCAAATCCGCGAAACCGATGGCTTCCTCGTAGAGCAAACAGCAGCATAAAATTCTCAATCAATATAGCCGCCAGCAAGTGGCCTTTTCTGTGAGCGGGCTAGCCTGGACAAGCAGTGCAGATGAACCACGCACCTGTCTCATGCACCTAGCTTGCGGGAAGGGTTTGGGGGGGATGCCAGGGCAGAGTGGCGGCGTTCGGCATGCTGAATTGATGGGTCGGGGGAAGGGTTGAAAACACGAAGGCGAGCCCAACTGTCGTACCGACACATCCGGCACCCATGTTTCCGCTTCATGAGCCGAGGTTCCTCAACCTTGAACGACTCCCCAAGCAAACCTCCAAAAGGCTGGCTGGACTTCTGCATTTGCCATCCTTTGACCAGTGATTGAATGCTGGCGCGCACCGCCTCGGCCTGAAGAGGGAGAAGGGGAGGTGAAAGGGTAAGGGTTTGAGAAAGTCGAAGGGTTTCGCACGTGAGGGACCGTTGAACGCAAGCGTGAAGAGATCGTTGCGACTCCGGTGGAGGAAGAGTAGGTGAAGGGATGGTGTAGGTGGGGTAGGGGGCCTGAAAATACCTCGCAGAGCCTGAGGCCCCGGCGGGTTAGATCTATTTGTCGGATTGTGTCGGTGTGCAGTTGTCGTGGCAGTGCGCAGTATCGGTGCCAGCGTGCGTTGACTGCAGGGGAACAACATGGAGTCAACCCTGGCAGACACGGTGCAAGCACAAGGGAAGAAGCTTTTGGAGCAAGAGCAGCGTATCAAAGAATTGGAGAAGCGCTTGGAGAGCATTCCCCAGGTAGGTGTCATGGCAGCTGAGATGGGCAACGGCAACCAAGCAAATGGGCCAGAAGCGATGACGGTGGTCGTCGAAGCCACGCCTGAGAATACGGCGCACAACAGCGCAGCGCTCTATGAGTTCGATAACTCCATGTGGGATGCTGCGCTCCTCCTGTTCTTCAGGAAGGGAACCAACTGGGTGGAGAAGATGATCCTCATCATCGGGTGCATCCTCAACTTGTTCTTGCAGATGTCCCTGCTTATCACCATCCAATTCAACATGTTGGAGAGCCCTTATGACAAGGACACGGTACAAGAGATGCTGAGGTGGCGTGTACAAAATGGGAATGCAAACGCCAATTTCAATGACATTACTGGCAAGAGCCTGTTGACCCGACTCTGCAATCAGGAGCTTTGGACCTACGAGCAAGAAGAGTTCAAGTTAATGTATGATTATCTTTACAAGGAAGTTCCAGGAGCCTTGCTGAGCACGTTGGCCATCGTCATGTGGGTGCTGACCATCATGGTCGAGTACCGTCGATGTGTCGAGCAGGCACTTGCAGTGATTCATCTCCCTCGCCTCGAAAAGGGTTCTGAGTTTTCCCTGGTGGATCTGGAGGGTAACTTGGAAATACGAGGAATGAGTAATGTGAAGAGAATTCTTGCGCTGACCCTCTTGAGCTTTCCCCGACTCGCTGTCATGCTTTGGTTGGCTGTCATCGGCTGCCAGTACTTGGCGCAGACCGTCAACCTTGGAGATATCGTTTTAAATGCTGTGGCCCTGGCCTTTGTGATGGACGTGGATGAGTTGGTCGCCAACGTCCTGTTGACCGAACGGTTGAGGTCGATCCTGCCGCGAATCCAACCCCTGTCTTGTGGACCGCGTGCCAAGGGCAAGTGCTGCCCCATCAAGGACATGGTACGGTACGTGATCACTGCAGGCTTTGGAGGGACATCATTCATGCCATGGAACCTCTCACTTCCCTTTCTCTCTGTGCACAAACCCCACGCTGATAGCACTGGCTCTTCCGAATCCGCTGCACTTATTCACATTTATCCTTATCCAAAGCCTGACATGAAACCTGATTGCATGTGAAGCACGGTCCAAGAAACAACAGAAACTGGCATGTGCTGTGCTTGTTGCAGGTCTGGTTGCCTTTGCGCTCATCTGGTGGCTAATCCCCTTCGATTCGTATGTCAGAGGAGCTGCTATGGCCCTGTGCGGAGGCTTCCAGGACCGGGCTTCACAAAGCACCCTTGCTGCTTCAAATCAGTGGTCCGTTGGAATGCTTTCGCAAAAATGCACATCGGCTTCTCCAGCAAAGCCTTCTGCTGCTGATGGCTCTGAATGTCTCCTGTAAGCAGAACCGTAGCGGTGGGAACAGGGAAATCAACCAGGCTTGAAAGAGTCCAAGTTTCCGGAGCTGTGGTTGGAGGTGCGTTGATGCGCAGTAGGTTTTTCC